TTCAGCAAAATCATTTTGTAGTAGATGCTCTCCAACTGCTTTGTCGGAAGAAATCTTATCTTCCTCAGCACAGCTAGCTGAGTTGAGAATTTTTGGATAATTTATCGATATGATGTTCCCAGGAGAGTTTATTGTCAAAAAATAATCCTAAAGACTTCACCACATTAGAAAGGTCAATAACGAGGTTTGCACAACACACTTGTTGTAAAGAACCAATAAATTTCTTTCTAGAGATAATCATAGCTTCACATTTCTTACGGGTGGATAGTCAGTCTATTTAATTCACACCACGAACAGATATCAGCGAGAAGAACATTTAGTAACTGGGAAACCTGATCGATCGTGTCACCAGTCACAAAAGCAGTGGTATCATCTGCATAGAGATGTAGCTCACCAGTTGAAACATTGTCAGCAAAATCGTTTACATAAATCGAAAACAGACGTGGACCCAGATGGAACCCTGAGGAACACCATACGACACGTACTGGAGTTTTGATTTTACACTATTTAGATCCACAAATTGTTGACTGTTTTCAAGATAGCTAGTTAACCACTGCAAAAAGGTTCCCATAAAAACCGCAAGCTTGCAGTTTATAGCTCAAAACTTCGTGGTTTACGGAGTCGAAAGCCTTACGAACGTCTATGAAGATAACTCCCACGACCTTCCCATTATCGATATTTAATTTCCAGGTTTCACTTAAATATATCAGGAGAGATTCAGTGGACAATCCTTTCTTATACCCCCGCTGGTTCTTGTGAAGTACATTCCCAAGTGAGGAACAATGTTACCACAAATTACTGAATCCGTAATTTTGCTAGGAATAGGAAGGAGTGTTATTGGCCTGTAGTTAGAACAATCGTCTTTGCTGCCATTTTTCCATTGAACATTAACCAAACCGATTTTCCATTGCGAGGGATAAATCCCGCTGCATAACGTTGCCTACTCAGATTTGCAACACACGGGCTAAATTCTTCAGCAACTACCTTCATCTCTCCTGCCGACAGGTTGTCTACCCCATGAGCTTTGTTTCCCTTGATCAATTTGAATTTATCTTCAAAAGCACTGTCACTTAACACTAAATCACCTATTGAAGGGGTAATTCTACAAAAAAAGTTGGATCAATGTTAACCTCCCTCGGTGTGAAAGATTTGGCAAGTTCTTTCCCAATTGTTGAAAAGAAAACGTTAAAGGGGCAGCTTTTGTAGAATCTTCGACGACTATTTCTCTTTGTTCATACATAATGGGACCTACTGGCTTTGATTTCGCAGATTTACCAGTCAATAGCTTCACAACATTCCAGAATTCCTTACTGCCACTTCTTTAACTTGGATGACCAATAGTTCGCCTCAGCCATTCTTAATTCCTTAGTGACATTTTCTTTTTAAAACACTCCAGTCGGCTGGATCTCTAGATATTTGTGCCTTAATTGAAGCTTTATACCGCTTATTCATCAGTTTGATAATTTTACTATTCATTCTGATCCAGGTCATCCCAAGGCTCAAGATAAACGCCCTTAGCCGATATTTGTATCCGGGAGAACAATTGAAACGTTTTCTTAAAGCACTATATATAGTACAAGTCTTTCAGTAAAAATTAAAAAAAATAACATATCTATTGGCGGATTTATTGACATATACAATAATGTGAAAGGTTTGAACCCAGAAGTCATTTCAAAAGTAGGTTGAGTTTGATCGTCTGGGTGAACGTAGTCCTGAATAGGACTGTTGTTGTTGACAGTGACTGACGTTTCGACAACCTTATGGGTCTGATGGGTCAATTACGTTGCGATGTTATTGGTCGTCTGTCACTTAAGCCGTGATGTTATTGACGAGATCAAACAAAACTAACTACGAGAGAACGACTGGAGAACTGACAATTTGAGTAACAATATAGACGACTGTTTAACTGTGACAATAGACAGATCGAAACGCACCAATTACTGATTACGAGTCTTCATAGCCAATAACATCACGGCTTAACTGACAGGCGACCAACAACATCGCAACGAAACTGACCAATGAGACCAATAACCAGAGTATAATACCATCAACTGACGTGATACAACTCACTTTGACTCTGAAGATGACTACCGCGCAGGTTGTCGAAACGTCAGTCACTGTCAACAACAACAGTCCTATTCAGGACTACGTTCACCTGGACGAACAAACTCAACCTACTTTTGATATACAACAATCATAGTTTTTAGCGTACAATAGTCTGTACAACTTATACCAGCTAATAATAACTAATTGTGAGAATCACGTTTACTTAATATAATTTATAGAAAATAATAGTAACAAATATCAAAAATAGTAATATGTTCCCGCACTAAATTGCATTTAAAAATTATTCAGTAACTGTTAGGTGTTAAGCCACATTTTCTCCTATTTTTTTTCATTTCCTTCCTCATTAGAATTAACTTTATACCAAGCAGTCCCATAATTTATTGGAAACATGCTCTCCTATTATTTTCCACTGCGTTTTCTCTACGCTCTAGTTAGATTAAGTATGTACATTTCTATCTGTGCGTATGGCTGTCTTTTTAGATAGCACTGAATAGTTGTAAACTCGCCTAACAGCCTATTATAACTATAGCGTAGTACCTACACAAACAGTATTTTCTCCACTGCAAATCTTTACGGAGCGAGTCTGGGTAAAAGGTAGTTTCGTGAATCTCTCGAGTTATTTTCTTTCTTCGCTTAAGACTTAATTCCCAGTCTTATTTTCTTAAAGATATGCTTTTTTATGGAAATAGCTTTATTTAGTAATTAATGAATGAAGCTGAGCATATGAAGAATTATGCAGATCGAGGAGGGTATTATCGACCAAGGCCAAAGACCGAGGTGGATAACACCCTCCGAGATCTGCATGATGCTTATTATTCATTCAAAATATTTCCCCGATTCTGATTGGTTAAAAGCACACGCATAATTTACCATACACAGCTCCTGATGACCAAATTTGGAATAATTTTGGGTTTAATGAACCGATGACGTCAAAAGTGCAGCCTTCTTGCAGGCTAATGCACCGTTAACCGAGAAGACCTAGGGAAGAGGTTGAGTTGTTTTGGTTGTGAAAAAAAAAATGGCGGACATTTCACTCATTTCAAGAGTAAGAACTAGGTGAAATAATAGCTAAAAACATGGCAATAATAGCAAGATGACAACTTGAAGGGCAACATCTGCTATTTGGAGGATATTTGCCGAGCTGAACAACCCTAAACGTGCACTATCGAAGATGAACTTACCATCGATAGAGGTAAGCACGTTTTAGCTACGTTTTTAAACTAGGAATTATTTTGAATGAATAATAAAAGAATTATTGAATTCGGCTTTCGTATCATATGAAAAACTATGGAGATCTCGGAGGGTGTTATCCGCCTCGGCCGTTATAACACCCTACTCGACCTCCATAATTCTTCATAAGATTCTCAGCCTCATTCATTAATTGCTTTATTATTCATTCAAAATAATTCCTAGTTTAAAAACAAGCTTAAACATGCTTTCCTTCATCGCTGTTAAGTTCACCTCGATAGTGCATGTTTAGAAGATAATGGGCTCTTCAGGTCTGCAAATGTACCCCAAACAGCAGACGTTGTCCGTCGAGTTGTCGTCTTGCTATGTTTTTAGACAATAGTTCGTCGTGAAAAGAGTAAAATGTTCGGCCGACTGTTGGGCCATTTTTCTTTTCACAACCAAAACAACCCAACCTCGTCCCCAAGTTTTCTCGGTTAACGATGCATTAACCTGCAACTGTGCTGCACTTTTGACGTCATCGGTTGATTAATCGTAAAATTCTTTCAAATTTGGTCAACAGGAGCTGGTTATGGTGAATTATGCGTTTGATTTTAGCCAATCAGGACGGAGAAATATTTTAAATGAATAATAATTAACTTTAGTATATACTAAAACAGTGGATAGTGTTTTTCGCGCGCTCTGATTGGCTACTCAATCAGTGAATATCCTGCACTATTCACTGATTCACCTCCAGTTCCCCCGAGCGAGCGACGCCAAACTCGCGTAGGTTGCGAGCAAAATGCTTTCCCGGTTTGCTGCCGTAACAAACTAAGAAATTTCACAACTAATCAAGCAAGTTATTTCTGAAATACATGAAGAAGGTGACGAAGTTTGGTTTGGACGTTTTAACAGGTGAAGCTTCGCCTTTTTGACTTGAATAGTTATCNAAACAGTGGATAGTGTTTTTCGCGCGCTCTGATTGGCTACTCAATCAGTGAATATCCTGCACTATTCACTGATTCACCTCCAGTTCCCCCGAGCGAGCGACGCCAAACTCGCGTAGGTTGCGAGCAAAATGCTTTCCCGGTTTGCTGCCGTAACAAACTAAGAAATTTCACAACTAATCAAGCAAGTTATTTCTGAAATACATGAAGAAGGTGACGAAGTTTGGTTTGGACGTTTTAACAGGTGAAGCTTCGCCTTTTTGACTTGAATAGTTATCGATAAACCGGTGAAAAAGTTTTTTGTTTACAAATGCAAATTAAGCTTAAGTCTTGCGTTACTTTATTTAGTTGACTTGTTCATAAATAAGCTTAAAACTAAATTTAATAATCTTTTTTTACACAATTATTTTAAATACAAACAGAGTTACCAACTTTTTTGAAGAAACTTCCCCGCACGAGCTAAACAAACGCCTTAAAAAGTTTTATTTGTCGCTAAGAAAAAGCGACGACCGCGGCCGTACGGTCATCGCGCGCCAAAATTGTAATCGTTGGCAACAGTAAATGAGTTAAAAATCATCATTTTGTGCTCAATTATCTCACTGTTTTAGTGGCTAGTAGTGGATAGTAGTGGCTAGTAGTGGATATTAACTTCGCCGCTTCGCGGCCTCGGTAAATACCTAATACTAGCCACCTCCACTTCGGTGAATAATTGTTATTTACTTAATGAGGAATGCCGTTTAAGTAATTGGTCTCCCGAAAATAGTAGAGTATCATAACAAACTGGTGACTGCGGCACTCGCGTGAATGGATACTTTTGGTTTACACGGTCAAGTCTTCAAGGTTTGCATACAGCTGTTTATCATACAATTTCATGTTTATTAGCCCCTGCAAATAAAAAAGAAAAAACAGACCATAATTTAACAAGCCATAACAACAGCCTGCTGCGCAGACGTCTCCTTGGCTCAGTGAGAAGGAATTGTTTGCGTGAACCGCCAAAAGAAAAAAAAAGAAAACGCCTGCGTTAGAAGATATTTCAAACCTAAGTAATCTTATTAGAAGCGAATGCTGTAGAGTTGGACTATTTCTCTTAGCTTAAATACAAAACTTTTCACACGATAAAGTACGCAGGCGAATCATTGATGTCTTACCAGCAGCTTGTTCGCGTAACTAATAAAACAATCCACGCAGTTAACAATTCTGTTTCTTCAATTTAGTTATAAGAAACAGGCATGGCGAGAGGTCGTAGTTGACTGCCAACGAAGCATAACGAGAACGTTTTGAGGACAGAATCTATAAGGCTACCCTAGGTTTGCAGCTCCAGACTTGCTAATGAAGGTGAAAAATTTGAAGGAGGACAACTGAGGGAGACTCAAAATTGTCCAGGACGTTTCTTGTTTAAATCGTACCTTATGTTGGTTTTCCATCTTTTTCAGCTTCATTGTCAGTTCAGAAAAAGAAGGTCTTGCATTAGGGTCTTCCAGCCAGCACAGTTTCATTATTTTGTACCTGTCACAACACAAAAATTATGCATGGTATGTTGAGCAACAATTCTTTCGGTCCATACCAGTTAAGCCTTTGCACTTAGTCTTGTTTTGAAAGCGAGAGTTTTTGGACCTCGGAAGTGGCCTATTAGAGTAAAAGGAGTTTCAGAAAAGTATAGTCGTCATCTTGGTTGAAATTTTCAATAAGAGTTTGCAGTTAACTTTAAGTCCAACTTTTTCGGGAGTTTGGCTAAATGTTCATCACTAAATTTTCTCTCGAAGAAGTACAAGACCTTAAAAGCTAATAGTGGTCAGGGCTAGAAGATACCTTTGCCGGAACACGACTAGTACCTACAACTGTGACATGGAAATTGTGACCTCAGCATTCTGGCGTTTCGACTCCCAAAACCATCTCTGGTGAAAAACCTCGCAGGATCCTTAACGATCCTATTAAATATTTATAGTATGGGGAGAGGTGCTCAGTATAGGAATAAAACGTTTCGAAACCCATGAAGCGGAGACATAATTACTTACAGTTCATCATCAACATGTTGTGGTTTAGGCATCCTGTATCCGTCCTGAAGTAAGCTTACAATCTTCCTGCCATCCATTCGTGGATATGGAGAACCCCCTGAAAAGGAGAAAGTGACCAGCTGTTACAATACTTTATTACAAGGCATGCGTTCTCCCAAAATTTGTTGTTGTCGTTGTTGCTGTTTTTACTCAACATGGAAGGAACTAACTGTAAGTGACTGTAAGGACAATTTATTTACACACCCGCCTCTTTATCTGCCTCATTTGGGCACCATGGGAACTAAAAGCTGCCGTCAATGTAAGTCATGGTGTAAATAATTGCTGTGATAAGGTGACAGTATTAAATTATCAGCGAACTTCGGCACTGTAGCGAGAGACACTTGTCTCACTGGACGTCAAACACTTCAACCAGAAGATAATCTGAAAAAGCTTCTCAACTAGTCAATCTTTCACGCAAGGTGTTTAAGGCCTGGGTCAAAGGTGTGTTCGAATGAATGATTGGCAATATCTCTCGCTAGGAGACCTAGAACAAAACAATTTTTCCCCAAAAGTAAATCTTGGGGTGTTCTTGTGTCTGAACGTTTAAATATGGAAATTGGCCAATTGGTGGGGAATCGGTGGGAAAACGGCGAATTGGTGTGGAATTGACTTTCAAAGAGGATAAACATGCCTCACTTTCTACCTTTGGAATGAACGTGTGCAAAGTTCGAAATTCAAGTTTTTAATAATTGAAGATTAAATTTGGACATTAAAAATGATGTTTTTCTCATAATTTTTCTTGAAGTTTCCTGAACGGTCATTCCAAACGTGAAGTGTTAGAAATATTTAATAAGAATAAGAAAGATGGTATTGCTCGATTTCTTCTCTTAAACCGGCCACCAACTGGTCAATAATTTACGATTTTTCGTAAAATGATGACGTCATATATCACGTGACTGATTAACGCTGATTATTTATGCGATAAAATGTTAAAGGCGATGAGCTCTATGTGTGCCAAATTTTGATTCAGCGCCATCATCTTTACCGAAGTTATAGCCAATAAACCATTTTCCAGAGTGTTACGAAAAATTGTAATGCATGACTAGCGTGACTTTCTAGAAGCTTCGCGAGTTTATAGTTTGTTTATTTTAGGATCTTGTGTAAGCGTTTCTAAAGCGGTATAGTTTGTAATCTTTCTATAATTAGACTATTTGGAAAGTTCTAGAATCTTATTGTAAAAGTATATAAGTAGGCGAGTCCGAGCGAAGTTTTAACTAGTTTTCACAAGCGAAGAGAGTTTGACGTTGGTCGTGTTTAGTCAAGTGTGACAAAAGCAGTGTTTATTCAAGTTGGCGGAGGCCGTGTAAGTTTATCAAGTTAATTGAAGTTGGCGGAGGCCGTGTAAGTTTAACGAGTTACGTGCTGTTGTGGAGTTCTAGTTCGTGGAAACTACGTTCATTTTTGAAATAAATCTTCTTGTTCCTGTTCCGACAACCCTGCGTTCAGTTTGGTTTGCAAGCTACCCGTCCTCTAAAAGATTACCCTCGTAACACAGAGATAAACCACTAACTACTTGAGCAGTGATCTGACTCAACGTCACGAATATGTGTTAAAAGAAAGGCTTTCAAAATCCTTGGGTTTAGAAAGCAGCGTCCCGTCATGCAAAGCAGCCAACTCCCGATTTTTGTTTACGACATTTATGAGGTCAGCGCTCTTGTTGCTCGCCATTATCACATTTGGCACTGCTGGGGGTTTTAACGTCGGCAACAAGTTATCGATGGCAATATGCGCGGAAAACACAAATATATACTAATAATATATGCATTCTTGAGCTCTAAAGTATGTCAAAACGTAATACCTTTCTTCTTTCGGAACATTCTCTGTTTTAACAAAAACTTCAAAAACCACAGTAAGTTAATAGCTATAGGACCTTACCAATTGTAAATATCTCGTAAAGTAAGACTCCATAGCTCCACCTATGAAAACAAAAAGACACATATCTGCGGTTACATTTTAAATAAATAAAAATAAAAAGGTTCTGCGGTTTTTTTACACGTAATACACATTTTTTTCACTTCTAGTTTAGAGATGAGAGAGGGATAGTTTTGCGTCATTAACGCTGCTTAACCCAGTGACATTAACCGTCTTGCATGCTTTCTTCTTCTCACGTGACGCGAGATGAGCTTCTGTTCTGCAAATACCAAATTATTAATGCATATATAGAAAGTTTTCTTACACGTCGCTCTTGGTGGTGTATCGTCCGTAAAGCAGGGCTTCATATGCGGTCCACTTCACTGGTAAACGACCCTACATATGAGCAAAGTAAATGACCATAAGACAAATGGACGACGAACATGGAATAGCGTATTGGCAAAAAGCAGGAGGAAGTGAAAGATGATGAAAAAGTAATGTACTTCCTTGCTTCCCTGCATCTTAGCAAAAAAGAAGGTTGGTAGAAAAATATACTCCGAAATAAAAGGTCAGGAGGCCATCTTAAAATTTTTAAAATAATCGGTTGCTGCAAAAATAAAACTCAGGCTTCGTTTACACGCAACTTTCTTTTTTACAATTTCTTCCTGTCTTAGTGTGGAAGAACAAAACCGAACAAAGTTTCACTGCAACTGCCGTTCTCTAAGACTTTCATCAGGTATAAAGTTAGCAATCTTCTTTTATATGCAGCTGAATTAAAAATTTATGCTTGGCAAAGGACGAACACCTGAAGTATGCAATCTAATCCCATGTTTTCGTGACCAGCAAAATAGTCTCTTATGCTTTTTTAGGATTGTCAAATGTTTTATCAACTTTACACATACTGCCTTAACTTCGTGGCCTATAGTTTTGGGAGTAACTCTTAAAGCATGAAACCTAGAAAGCAACGACATAATCAACAAAACCTTACGTATTTTCCTCCACAGGTAATGGAAAGGATTGCGTGCCAGTCCTATACTGTAGGTTTGTTTCCAATATAATACAAACCTTTGTCTTCCTTTCATAAATATTTTGTTCTTGCACATCTCTTGCCATTCCAAAGTCTGTCACTTTACAAGTTTCATTTTCTCCAACCAGAACATTTCGAGCGGCAAGGTCTCGATGAATAATCTGCAATGTGAGATTTCATTTCACACGAGCTTAAAACCTTGCAAGTCACATGGACCTGTACTGAGGCGTTCGGATCTTTCTGTCTTACTCTAATGCTGTTACATTTCATGAAATTTTGAAGTTATTTTTTAAGACTTGACACCAAATGGATAGGATATATTTGTCCAAACAAGAGCTCTGTCAGTTTCATGTCTTTACATTTTAATCCACATCAGTCCAGCCGTAAATAAATTTTATGAAATCGCCATTGTCGAGGGGGTTTATCAAAACGCAAAAGCAAAACGTAGCTGAAAGTGAGGGGACCTGAGTATGTTCTTCACTGTTAGTCCGTATAATTTTTCTTTGTAAAATGGAGACAGTCTAAACCAGACTTTGAATACATAATAGTCAAATTTTTTAGCTTACAGCTCTCGATGAGAGGTAACTCATTCCATCAGCAACTTGCCAAGAAAACTTCATCAACTGTTGTGACGTCAGACTTGTTTGTGGTTTGATATCTGGGTCTTTGAAATAAGTGTCGTTTAATCCACGGCTCTTTCTCAGGTAACCCAGGAGATCCCCGTATGGAACGTACTCGATCAAGACTAACAAGGGCTCTGAGTAAAAAACGACGTATTCATTTAGTCATTCACGAACAAATATACTTGACTCAGACTGAAAAAGGTACAATTGAAATGACAGGAATGACCCTTTACTTGCAGCATAGTAATTGGTGACTAAAGACAGTTTTCATTAAAAAAACCTACCAGATTCGGTGACGCATCCCAGAAGTTTGATGACGTGCGGATGAGGCTTTAACGTCTTCATCACTTCAAGCTCTGATAACAAATCCTTCCTGTCGGATTCCGGCGCGGCAGCTGAAAGGTGAGGTAACGAGCGTTTTCATTGTGCCTCGTTTGTGTTACATTCCTTTATTTTTCAGTGAGCCTATTCTTACATTATTAGTTACACAGTGATTAATCAAGTTATCTTGTACCTTTTAACATTTTGACAGCCACCTGTGTGTCATGTTGTCTTTCACGTAGGCCTTTAACCTTTCCCCTGGCAACCTGACCAAAAGCACCTTTGCCAATTATCTTCTCAATAATCACGTTCTGGCGAAGAATCTCGTAAGAAATTGATGATGGGTTCCAAGGTTCATACTGGCTTAATGATGAAGCGTCGACTGACGGAATGACTTCCGGTGAGCCAGATGATTGGCGCGCCTTAACCAGTGGCATATAATGTCCAGACGAAACCTCTGAAGTCATTTGTCTCATGGAAATTTGTTCTGGTTCACGATTATCCACTTGCACTGCAGCCTTAGATAAACGAGAAAAGACCACAAAACTTGACTCTTAACTTTTTTGTCGATATCTACCTTTTATGAAAGTCGTACCATTCTTTTGGTTTCACTAACGCGAAAATTAAACAAGACTAAAACAAAAAAAGAACAAAATATCAAGCAAAGGAACAACTGTAAAACGATAACCACAATTACAGAACCGACAAACCTCGTAATCTTTTCAACTCTAATTTTTGTACAGAGATATTGCACTGTTACGCTCGCGTTAATCATTTGCCTCACGAATAAGGTCACCTTTTTAATTTATTGCTACGTTTTTAACGTGTTTATCAGGTATCTCCATTTAACAACACTTCGACGCCATCCATGAATACTGTAAAGAGACGCGGCACATCGTGGAATCCATAGTACTTTCTAGCCATATGCGCTTGGCACCAAAGGTAGACGAGAGAAACTATCATGCTTCTTTAGTGATTAGCACAAACCATGCAAATGTATGCCTAATATTTAAAATTATAAAGGGAAACGACTGAAATGGCAGTCATTTACCGGATTTATTATGTAAACATTGATTTACGTCATCAGTATGGAATTTCTACCGCTGAGTCGCAGACGTTCCTCCTCGCGAAACGTCCCCAGCGTCGAAGAGCGAAGTTCGCAGGCTAGGTTGTTGTCTGCACAACATTCAAGTAAAAAAAATAACTTAAAGAAAAAGGACCGCCTCTTTCAATTAACCTGGCTTAGTCTACAGAACCTAATTATGATTTACTACATGCCTAGCACCCAGATCTGTCCAAATGAAACACGTTCTACCCAAAGCGGGCGAGTTGAGGCCATCTCAGGAGTAGGGGTGTTTTCACCGCGTTTTTGGGGAGAAATCTCAAAAAATGACGAATGATACGCCAACACAAGATATCGTAACTTTTTTTCTTTATCTCAGGAAAAATAATTCGTGCATTAGTCCCAAGTCTCACAAAATTCACTTATCATAAAGTACATTTCCTTTAATTAGCAGCAGAAAATAAGCAGAAATAAATGTCATTTATAGATGCTCTAGTAGACCAAGAAGCCAATTAAACAAAAAATGTGCCTTGCATAGCAAATCAACAGATCCTTGTACAATTAGACACATGGTTTAATTCAAGACTTAATGGTCCCCGTTGTTACAAGCTTAGGCTGACGCTATAGCCGAGGAAAAAGAGCTCAGTTGCTAATACGAAGCTAACCTTCCAGGGCATGGGTACGGACAGAGATGAAAAGAAAGAGAGATTTGGTTGACGAAGAACTCGACACTGAAAATAAAAACGCTGACTAACTTCTGATGCTGAAAGTGAGGATTAAAACCACGAATTAAGATATTTTAAATTATCTTCGCAAGCGGAGCATTCCGATTTCTTAGATAGCGTGGCTGTGTAAAGAGATATTTAGTTCCGGATTCCCCACCCACAATTTTAAGTCGAAACAAACATAATTCCCCTGGTAAACATGGCTGAGCAAGGTAAATGTTGAACTTTTTCTGGAAATCGATGCCGTATAAACCAGACCCCGTGCCCTGAGTATGTTTCTTTAAGGACTTGCGGAGCTTGGTTAGGGAGTCCATAGCGTTTTATTAAAAACCAAAGGTGTCGAAGTTATTGATAGAAAAGAAAGAAGGTTTTCGAAATGGAGGATAAACCTCCGAGAGGAAGATAGATGAGGATAGTTCATCGTATAGAGAAGAAGATCAGGCAGAAGAGATGGCTTCTGCAAATTGCAGTAAAGCCAAGGAAACCCAAGAGAGTGGTTGCTCTGAAAGGACGACCATCTTTCACTCTTAAACTCCATGTGAATTCTAACTTGTACGCATCCGAATGATTACAAGATTTGCCCTACATGTGATCGTACACACACCAGATCCTCGATAAGAGAAATTACATGAAAGAGGGCTTTCTTTGGTGTCACGATTGAGGAGCATTATCACACACGAAACATTGGAAACCACTTTTTAACAATCTTCTATCAGCAGACTAGACAGACTAGAATAAAGATATAAGGGATTCCACCGATTTTTATGCAAGAGACAAAATCAAAAAGCTATGAGATGATCGACGTTAATGTACATGTATTCGTTAATGAGATTAATTTACCTCCTAAAGAACGGAGTTACACATTCCTACTATGCTACATGTACTTTTAGGATTACGGGCCTTGGTGCTTCAAGAAAAGATTTCCCGCAAAAACGGAAACTTGGCTGATATCTAGCCATCTTTATAAAAAATGCACATATGCTGCATTGAAATTACGGGAAACAATGTTGAAATTAACTGCCGCTTTATAGCCCCAATGTCAAAATGGCCACATTAGTTTCATATTCTTTTGTTCATATTCAAATTAGCAATTCTAACATTGTTCTTTATCGAGCAGCCATTTTTGCTCGTAACTCGTAAGGTCTCTCCTAATTGCTCGCCGGAAACAATGACCTGTCATTCTTTGAATGTTTTTAAGGTTTTTTTTTGGGCCAGGAACACGCACCATTGGTGACTTCTCTTCAGAGCAGCTGCTACATGACCCATATATTTTTGCACTGCGTCTATGATGTATTATTTTTCTTAGCTATATTATTGACATGAAACGTACATTGAATTCTCCTGTTTTTTCACATGTAGTAGTATACAGCCTGAAATAGTTAAGAAAGACAGCAAATTAGAATAAATGTATGCACGTTCGTTCTCTTTTTTAAAAAATGAGTGATCCCAGTTGGCGTCATTTTTGGAAATAAAACTATTCACACATCTTGTCCCCTTTTGTCCTTTTAAGGTATAACGAGCATTAAGCAAATAATTCAAAGGCAACATAACGATGCTAAAAAATTCGAAATGAAAAAAACTTATCAAATAACTTAACATTGCTCCAAGGCAACGATGCCTGGAAGAGCACTAGTTATTTAAATATCTTATTTTTGCCGGATAAATCACAGGACTATTTGCCAATACTGAAGCTACCACCAACACATGAGATTACCTTCTTCCTTTTGCTATCCCTATAAGAGAATTAAAAGGTTAAACTTAGCAGGGTGTTAAAGTAACAACGCCGTTAGTTAAGGTAGCTCGACTGGATATTTATTGGTGAGAGGAATACTTTTCATGTTTGACCATTGATTCCGTCGCTAAAGATATCGGAAAACGGTCAGGTCAGATTTATATGATAAGAAAGATAAAAATTTGCCATAAGTCCAGCCGGGCGTTGCCACAACAGATCAACTTGGCATTTTTCTTTTCATCCCTTTCTTTCTTGTTCTGTTTTGTTTTGTTTTTTTTTTTCTTTGCAAAATAACGTTTTTTAACGGTTTTCGGTTCAGCAAGATGTCCTCCATAACATTCCAAAAGTCTGCAAAAAAATACTTTGGACAAATTGACCAAAAAGCCAGGGCTTCCTGTGCTTTACTGTGGCTTGCACGTGTGTCCTGATCCATGCTGTGATTGGTCGCCATCACAACAAACAGTTTTCCAATATATCAGATGTTCACTGTTTTGTTAGTTTGACAGTCTAGACATTTTATTCTTAAAATTTAACAACTTTCATAAAATAACTGAGATGGTACGCGCGATCTGATTGGTCAAAAACCTATGGTTTTTTTTATACCGGTAAACCCATAGAAAAAGGCATCCGGACCACGAGCCATAAACAAAACCAGCTATTGATCAGAAAACATAACCTGAATTTCATCCGATTAGTTCGAGTCGTGATTACTCCCTCAGTAACGACGTTGCTGGGAGGAGAAAACGACTCAAAGCAATCGGATGAATTTCAGGCTACAGAAAACAATGATTTTAGAGAGGCTAAAAAACAGAACAAGTTACTTACCCAGCCCTTCTTACTATTAAAAACCGTTGGTTTCCACATTTTATTACAGAGCGTCACAATTCGCTACTGCATTAGCTTTAAAAGTTATAAAGTACACAGCTGGAAAGCAGTTTACATTTCACGACGATGCCAAATCGCAGAGAAAGACAACAACTGTGTGAATTTCTGGCGTAGAAAGTCTCTAGGAAAACTTTACCATGTGCCAACCAGCAACAAAACGGATAGTTTTTATTAGCATTCTTGATTTATTTTATGTCAAAATTAAACTCCTGAATGAAAGAAATTGTTCCAAAAAGAGATGTCTAATCAAGTTATGGTACAAAATCGGCCGCTGCAGGTAGTACACAAGCTGTAAACGATGATGAAAGATGTCAGAGTTTCGCGGTGTTTTTTTCCAACAATTGCATAAATTATTCGGTTATATCGATGCCATAACCTGCTTCAAACCACCTGACTTCACAAATCGACAAATATTGACGCCAATATGTGGCTACGGCTAAGAAACCTTTCTCCAAATTTAGAGCTACCACTGACATATTTCCATCGGTCGCTGTACGTACACAAGTTACATGTGACAACTTCGCAAAAGCAGCCATGTCGCTACCGCAGCATTTCTTGATCATGATAAAGTCCAGAAACAGATCTTAAACCATGCACACCGCAGCTTGTAAAAAGTGAATGAACTCCTCCATTACAATAGCTGCCAGTTCCGTCTGTAAGCACGAAATTTTTATGGATCGACTCAACAAAATACAGCTGCCTACAGTTTGATGTTCAATTTTCTACATCTGTAGTAAACAAACCATGAACGTATTCTTTCACTGTACGTTCGCATGAATATGCGCTGACTTTTCCTATAATACAGCTTTCATAAGTTGTCATGTAATAATTGCAAAAACTCGTGTTTTGAAGTGCTGCTGTTTGTTGTTTGACTGAACTGACACTCAACTGAGTTTTGAGACATGATTGGCTTATGATGACTTTAGAGAGAAGACATGACTTGATCACGGTACTAAAACCACATTTTTTACCTAAAAGACTCCGTTATACTAAAAGCTTTTCTCATGTTCTCCTAACATCCCGCGTGGGTTATCACGATGGTAAACCCATAGAAAGTGTGGTCTATTGCTTAAATAACAGCGAAGTCTATAATTACTTAGCAGTGCTTTAAGAATTAATAGAAATAAATTTTGGTGATATATCCATACAGCCCCATACATAATAATACGTATCTACAAAGGTCATTACATTCGATAAACACACTTTATCAAATTTCAATGTCGTACGTAATATAATGTAGCGGTTTGTACGAAACCCTCCCAAAAATTTCGCCTCTACTGCTTGTTTTGCACATTGAGCACAGAGGGCTCGAACAAATTTCTTTAGTTATATAACTTTATATAATTACCCTTGTTCGCCATCTTCTTGTCCTTATTTCTCCTCCACATCCACCAAGCAAAGACTCCAGCAAAGACAGCAAGCACAATAATAGGTATGACGATAGCAAGAATGATTGGCAGTTTATCGTCTGGAATTACACCTTTTGCTGTTCATTACGAGAAAATACACAATCATTTCCGTGAAATAGCGACCAATAGATACATTCATTAGCGTGAAAATACGAACACTTGCGCATAAATCAGATTAAATTACGATTTTTGCATTTTCATCAACATTAAATAACACTTTTGGGCATTCATTTGCGTCATTCGGCATACAAAAGAGAAAAATATACTTTCATTAAAGCCATCATCAAAGTCATTAACACCCTCTTGAAAGTCAGTAGGGGCAACTGACATACACTAGAGTGCAAACACTATTCATTAACATTTTTATGAGACTTTTTGCAATTCAATAGCATTCCCAGACAACTATTAATGAAACAAAACCATTAATGCGCTTGTAAAATCAATCGAGTGATCTTAACATTTAATATACAAAAATTGATTTTCAATTAAACAAGAGAAATTCAAACAAATTTGGCCTGAAATTGAGTCCGTTAAATGTATATCCCTCAAAAATCTCTTTTAAACATTTTGGGGGGTAGGTTTGCATGAAATGGTACCCTTAGCACATTTAGCTGCGGTAGCACTGCAGATGTTGTGTCCGACCTCCGCTACTGGGATTGCTAGGGCTTTTCCCTCATTCCTGTTTTACATGCACATCTTTCAATTTCCGGACTAAAGATATCGGCCATAGGTGTCGCTTTCAGACAACTTAAAACCTTTTCAGCGATGTCGAGGGGGGAAGCATAAGGCAAATCTAGGTGGGCTGGCACCCCGTCATAGGCAAAGACCACCGACTTATCGGGATCCATTTTTTCCCTCGCTTGTGCCAGAAAGTCACTGCAAAAACCGACCCAGCATTCATTACTCTAGCAGGTGCCAAGAAAAATACATCTACATGTATTCGATAGGTCATACTGCCACGGTCATAGTCAAGTTTCGTCCTCGTTGGCCGCACACTTGCCGGTACGCCCTTCACTCCCTGTCGCGCCCCACCATGACTTCTGGCCATCTAGGGTAAATATATAGCCGCAGTCGTCGACGAACACACAGTGGCGAAGTACGGCGTGGTTCCCTAAACAAATTCAGGCCAATTTTGGCGGTGGAATTAGTATTGATTAATTGAAAATAGATTATTGTATATTAAATGTAAAGAACGTTCAATTTATTGTACAAGCGGGTTAATGTTTGTCTTATCCATTCTAAAGCTGTCTAGGAATGTTACTGAATTGCAAACAGTGTCATAAAAATGTTAATGAATAGCGGTTGCACTTAAATGTTTGCCTATTGTCCCTAATGATTTTCAAGATAATGTTAATGACTCGAATGATGGCGTTACTGAAAGTATATTTTTCCCTTTTCTATGTCGAATGACGCAAGTAAATGCCCAAAAATTGGATGTTGATTAAAATGCAAAAATCGTTATTGAATCTGATTTATCCACAAATATTCGCTTTTTCACGCTAATGAATGTATCTTCGCGCTGTTGTACCTATTAATGAGACTTCGATGAAATTTTGGTTACCTTGAAAAAGCTGAATTACCTTATTAAACAACAAATAAAACAAATGAAATAGTAATATCTAACATATTATCCGTCCCGTTCTATAAACAAAACTGACGTGTGTCTTAACCGAGCTATTCTTTGCTTCCTGGGAACAGGAAGGGAAGAGTTCGAGTGATCCCCGTCCTCTAAAATATTATAGCCACTCGTAATAAGAACACCAAATTAGACCTAATCACCGCATCCAAAATCTAAGTGTATCTTGATCAACTCAATGGCATAAGTTTACGTCATTATGACGTCAAATTGTTGATAGAATTTATTGACAGAACCCAAATTTCATCCATTTCCCCCCAAAAGGTAGCAGTGCAGTGAAGAATACTAAAATATAGTAAGGTGTCTTATAAAATCATGAAGTTGGCTTACACATTGCTAATCTATAGCAACATCAGTGCCGTCATTTAAGATTAAACAAGGACATGGACCATCTGCTAACTTGGATCTGCCTTTTAAATTGGTAATATTTCGTTTAGCTTAAAAGCCGTATAATTCGAGGAAATCGTGCAGTGATTAAACAGTTTCATTTCATGTGTCTGCCCGCTTATTGATGATAAAATTGAACCATAACAATGTCAAAGTTGTTGCAGATCCACGAGCCGAAGACGTGACCAAAATATTTGATTTCAAAGTTTCTCGTCATTCAAAAACACGAAACAACAAGATCCTTTCCAGAGCAACTCCAGTGGTTCTTCTTCCACAGGTTTGCCTTTCGCCCAGACAAACGCAAGAAACATGCTTGGTGTCCCTGACAGGTAGTTTTCGCAATTCACTTGCCAAATCAAAAAAGCTAAAAATAGCGATTAAATAAAGGAAAAATTGCGATAAGATGCCTGAAAATAATTTAACTGCAAAAATCATTCATCTTCACAGCACAAATATTAGTCAGCCCGACTATCCAAATTGTTACTTGTAGTATAGTGATGATGATGAGAATAATAATAATATAGTCTAGGAGGTAGAACCCTGAAAAAATCGAGACGTAGCACACCCTCTACATATTTGGTCGGACATCACAAAATGATAGGGCAATACCCATAGAACATTTTTAGGTATGATGTACTGATGTACTGGTGGGACGTCATTGTGCTTGGGGCTCATTTGTGACTGCTGGTAAGGCCCCTGTGATTTAAGCATATTTTTAGTATCATTATTTTATACATGTTCAACTCGACATTACTCCCCTAAAGTTAAGCCTAGACAATTTTAAATTGGTTCAAGCATTACTGGTGTGAATATATTTTATCTTTATGTGTGAAACAACTTAACGAGGTTTCCATGGTAACCGTTGCTATGGTCATGTTTAATTAAGGGTATTTAAGCAATAATTAGCATTAGATTCTTCAGAATAACGACCAAACTTATCACTTCTTTATCCATCATCTTAAGTTAATCAAACAAAACAATACTTTTGAATTTAAAGTTATTCAGTTTTCAAAATAACTCATCTTTCCCTTAACAACTGCTGTTTACTACAGTGATTATGGTCAAAACTTGTTCCTTTATTTTCTCTTTTTGCTCACAATAATCTTTCACTATCTTTACAAAATCTGAACAATGTTTTCACGGTAACAACTGCCAATAAGACATTTTATACGTGAAATCTGAAAACAGATTTTGACACCAAAATGGCACTAGCTTTGGTTTTGAAGATAGTTTTCAAATCGACGAAGGAATGAACAAATTGAGGACTTCAACTTTCCATTGCATAATTTAAGTATAAACTTTAAAACTGCAATATGGAATCCTGAAATTAGGATCAAAATTCAGAAATTGAATTTTGGGCGATAGTGAACACCATAGTTCAAATACCGAAACTTGAATGTGTATTGCTGTTACTAGAGTACTAGAGGCTAAACGTCAGCATCTGTTAGCTCGTCTTCACTGCTTCCAGGTGTTACATCAACTGGCTTGTGAGGATTTTGGCAACTTTCATCATTCATACAAAGGCATGCCTCTGTACAGGGCATCTCGTGGGCTTTGCAAGGACACAAGTCATCCCTTCTGCAGACAGATTTGGTACATTTGCAAGTCGTCAGTTCAAGCAGCCCTTGTGGTGCTGGATCCTTGGACATCAAAAGTGGTTCCAAAACACCATCCACTTTCTTCCATCCGTTGCTGACTGGCGACGGGAGTTGCTGTGTTGCATTCAAGCAGTGTTTCCACACATATGCCTGGTAGTTAGCACGTTCAATGTGGTGTCGCAAGCTGTTGCTTGTGGGTGGTAAACTTTCACTTCTTTGGTGCTTTTGGCAGAACATCCAATAGCGTACGTCGTCAGCTGTTACCCCTGCCTTCTTGTTGGTTGTATAAAGGGAGCAAATAAACCTCTCACAGGCTTCAACAGTGAGCGCTGGTGGTGGAATCTGACTGCCAAGGTTGCCAACACTGTCATGGAGACTGGGATATTTGACAAATACCTTCCATCCTTTCTTTTTCCCGATCTGAAACAACCCACCAGTAGAATCACAACCAGTTAGTGCATGGAATGCTGGAATCGCTGCGCAAACACTCCTACCAAGTTTCTCAGCAATACGATGGACAGGGACGTAGCGAACCTTATCTTTGACGCCTGTCTTGAACCAAATTTCGTTGCACTGTATCATCTGGTATGCATAGATAGCTAATACAGCAACATCTGTATCAGGGGACTGAATGACAATCCTCTCTTTAGTGGAAGAGGCGTGCCACGCATGAAGGATCATCCTTGTGTCGGCTTCTTCATGGTCTGATCTCAGCTCTGCAAGGGGATCCGTACGTCCACGGGTTACAACAACTGCATCTGTTGGATCTTCAAAGCCACCTCCAATTACCAGCTCTTGATCAGGAAGTAAGTTGTATTCACCCAGACTGCACCACTCTCGGCAAAAAAATCTGGAAAGGTTAACCTTGTTATTCTGGTTGCTGATAAACTTCCCCCATTGCTTTGGAACTGGTGTATGCTTGTTTGTGATTTGGATCTCAAGAGCTCTGCTTGAACCCCTCCTAACTCTTTCACTTTCCTTTATGGACTCTTGAACATCATAGCGGTCAAAGACAACATCTACTCTTCTGCACTGACCTTGTCGTAGAGGTGTGAAGAGCACATTAAAGTATCTTTCAGCTAGGTCTCCGAATGTGCGGGAGCCTGCAGACTTCAACGTCTGGACAAGAGCCATTGCATCAAAAATGAATGCGGTTGATAGTGCACTTTCAGGAAGTCTTCCTTGTGCTTGACATTCCCGTTCAACCTCAGCCATAAGGACACTTTTTGTAGTTTTCCGCAAAGCACCATCTGCATGTGCCAATGCAAAGGGCACGGTGGACAGTTCATATCTCAGGACCTCTTTCACATCAACGTCACGACACTTTGCAGCAATTAGAAGTCTTCCAAACAAATTTCTATCAGCTGAAATAGTGATGATCTTCTCGTCTGCGCACTTGATTTGATTTGTTTTTGCCAGAGAAGCAAATGTTTTCAAATTCAGTTTCG